AGCCATCAGCAGGACAGATATGTTGACAAATCAACAACTGTCTTCCGCTCTGTTTTATGCCGTTATAACGTCGTCTGTTTTTTTATCCTGTGGGAGGCTTCTCATTAAAACAGTTCACGTTGTTTGTCATTTCCTCTTTCCCAACTTTCCTTTTAGCAAAAGTGGGCTTTCGTGTTTTATTCCACAAAGTAAATTATTGTGCAGACTCTGTTGTGACATATTTTAGGGCGTGATGTGACGTGAGATGCAGCGGAATCGTCGACCCACCGCTGTGCACTAGTTATTGTGCTCGCGTGATTAAAGTAGAGCCGTGAGCGTGGTTTGCTGGAGCCGAAAAAAGCTGGAAAAGTTGGCAAATCTATGACGAGAAAAATACAAGAACAGCTACGAGGAGCATTCTTTTCCAGTACGCATTAATGTTGCAGAGTGCTTTCACTTCTTCAGCTGTAGAAAAAGTGTCATATCATGCCGCTGCCTATCCTTTACATGGCTCTGCTTAACTAGGAGAGCCAAAAATGAATAAGTAAGTAGAAAGAGTGGAGCTGTGAATGTGTGACCACACTCAGGATCCAGACTGGGACTATTTTTTGCATGTCATGCTTCTCCCTTCTGTCGCCATAGCAGCTGATAAAACACTAAAGGGTATTCTTGCGTCAAAAGAGGCGAGCTGCTGTTGCACAATTCATAATGCAGTCTTGTCACATCTTCTTAAGACTTGTGCCCTGCTCAATGGAAGCATAACTCCTGCGTTGTTCGTACCTTTTCCCCTCCAGGCAGTGCTTCGGGGACGGGCTGAACTGGGCCGGCTGTGCCATCATTGTGCTGTTGGGACAGCAGCGTCGTTTTGACCTCTTTGACTTTTGCTACCACCTGCTCAAAGTCCAAAGGCAGGACGGCAAGGACGAAATCATCAAAAATGTGGTGAGTATGCTTTGTCCACGACATGTTTTAAAGATATCTGGCTGGTTTCAACTGAAGCCAGATCAATAAACGTATCCTGTCTTTTCATTTTCCCTCAACAGCCCCTGAAGAAGATGGCAGACCGCATCAGAAAGTACCAGATCCTCAACAATGAGATCTTTGCCATCCTCAACAAGTACATGAAGGCCGTGGAGACGGACAGTTCCACTGTGGAGCATGTTCGCTGTTTCCAGCCTCCTATACACCAATCCCTGGCTACCACCTGTTGAAAAAGACCCTTAACACATAGTGCTCACACACACACACACACACACACACATCCACTACACACACACACACACTCTGAGACACACACATTCCCCTTAGCTGTGATGCTAATTTCTGCCTCTTGTTGGTCTTTGGGAGGTATAGGTTACCCCAATGGCTCCACTCTGGCTGTAAGAATCCAAAGACAAATCCTCTCAAACTGTTCTTCTATTTAAAACGTGACTGTCTTTGGATTCTTCAAAGAAGTGGACCAGACCAGAGGTGGAGGTGTATATTCACACCGTGTTTTTTTTTTTTTAATTTTTATTTTACTCTCTGTGTGGCTCACACTCAGACTCATGCATGCCTTCTCTTGTTCCTTAAAATGCACCCCCGTGTGCATTGGACCACAGACACAGATGCCAAAAGAGAATCTTTATCCTTATAATCTGAAGCCCCATTTGGCTGCAGATATTTGAAATTACAGCCTTTCAGAGTTACAAACACCTGAATTTGAATTTCAGAATTTGCAATCATGAGCTGAGGCGGGAAAAAAAATAATCAATCTAACAAGGTTTAAATACTATGCTAAATAGTGGAAGAAATAACTAATTTTCTAAGTTATATAAAGATCTTTTAAGTGCAACATGGTGCTCCCAAGTGCTTCTACAGCTACTAACAGTACTAGCAAAGGCACCAGTGCACCTGTGCTATCGCTATGCGTGTCCTCTATTAAAACCCAAAACTTGTCTGTCGTGATACATTTCAATCTCTTCACTCATTTGTATGATAATCTGGTCTACCCATGTCCATGATACATAGTGTCTATCATGATGCATTCAAATACTCATCCATTACTTCTTTTCCACTTGGCTTGCTTTCAAAGAAATTGAGGTACATTGCAGTTTTTGATTTGCTTTTATTTATCTTAAGCCCCGCCCCCTTTCTGGTTTTCTTGCCTCCAAACACTTTTTTTTTTTTTTAGAAATTCTTATTATTTGGTACCAGTACCACTGTAAATTTCACTGTTGAACAAAGTGAAGTGTTGAGTGTTGTAAGTGTTTTTAATTATTAATATTTTAATTTACACATCCTTGGTATACTTGCCTCTCTACTATTGACTGGAAACCTCATCGACTGTTTTTTTTTTTTCCCTTCTTTTGTCTGTTGGAAAGATTTTTATATTCTGTACATGAATACAGTGATATTATTTACAAATTGGGGAAAAAAAATCAGAGTGAAAAAAAAAAAATTCAAAAGAAACCAGATTAGAAAAATACCTCTAGGTTGTATAAAGACAGTGCTGTACTAGATTAACATGTTACATTGAGTGTGAATGGATGATGTTGGTCTAGCAGACCTATGAATTACTCCACATACAATAAAGGAAAAAAAAAAAAAAGTCAACTAAAATGTCAGTTATAATTAAAGGGCAGTTTCCTAAATATAGTCAGTATTTACTATTGTTGGACTTTTGCTTTAGATTTAGCAGTGTTATCAAAATATGCAAAATTTGTCCCTATTTTTTTTTTCTCTCTCGAACAAATGAATTCTTAAGAAGTAACCCTCCCTAAAGAGCCCTGTGATCTTTCTTTTTTTTTTCTTTCTCTGCTCTGTTTTGAATGAAGAAAGTTTCTTTTTTGTAACTCCAGTGTCTTTTTATCATATTTATTCAACTCCAACTTACTGTTCATTTAAAGGTTAATCTAGTAAAAATGAAGGTACCAATGTATCATCTCGAAACCTTAGCATGGCAAATGTAATTTATTGTCATCAATGGCTCCATTTGTGACATGAGGCTTTGTTTATGATATTGTTGTACAAGTGACCATGTTTTGAAGTACAAAAAAATGGAGAAAAAGAATATAAAATGTACAACAATGGTCCTGCAAAGGATTTGAAATTATGTTGTATTTCCATGAAATAAAAAATGTTTAACTGAAAAAAATAAAGTTGTATTTAGGATATTGGTTTTTAGTGGGCTTTGCCTGTAAGTGCAGCGTCAAATGGTTCCCCCGATATGTAGAGATCAGCTGGATACACAAGACCAAGGAGGATGCAGTGTCACAAAGAGAAATTAGTACAAGTTTAACATGAGTGCACTGTGGGTTGTGTAAGGCAAACTTAACTCTACTTTTTTTTTTTCTTCCAACTGAATTATATAAAGCAAGTAATGTAAAACTCAAGAGCTATTCTCCACCAGAGATGATGCACAGTTTTTATATTCTCATTTACACTTAACAAAAAATATAAACATGCAAGTTGTCTTCTTTTGTGAGTAAATTCTCATTTCTTTTGTTAGGAGAAAAGGTTTTTAATTTAGATCAACGTTTTGGGAGTTTGGTAAACCGGTAACAAATTCTCAACCATGAAGTTAATCCACACCTAAAGGACAATGATCAGATAGTTTAACCAGTACACAGACACTCCTCATCAATGAAAGTGACTGTAAAAGGCCACCTTAAAATGCAGCCTTCTTCACATGACATGATGCCACAAGAGAAAGATGAGAACAGGCTATGGGGATGTTGGATGCTGACATGTCGTTTAGGGCCATAGCTCGGCACTTGATCACCCACAGCTCTACTGTTTGTCAACTGAGAAATTGTATCAGACAATACAACATATATGACAACCTGTCATATGACGCTGTAGATTGACATGTCTGACAACGCGACCCTGTCCCCCAAAATGTCTGTCAACCTCACCAAGGCCTTCAGGAGCAGTGGGACAACCTTCCACCAACCTGCAGCAAGATCCTCATTATAACTCTGTGTGTTGTAGGTGGGATCTGCCCATTACCAAGTGCATACCTGATTGTTTCATGACATCCACACCTTCTGTAGAGATGCTCTGTGTCGGAAGAACAAATCCTCTATGTTAAAAAGAATGAATAACATTTAATAAAATATTACATGCTGTCTTTTTATTTTTATACAGTGTACTTTTTACACAAGGTTTGGTTGATGGTTAGTTTTATTTCTCAGGTCAGTAGGGTGTGACTGGGGAAAATTTAGAGCGAGGACCTCAGTCTTTAATATCGAAATGTGTATTGTCTTTTGATAAAAATGGTCAAAATGAAGAAAAATACCTGACTAAGCAAACAAACAGCAACCTAGTCCCGCCCCGCCCCCCAGTGCATTCCAAGACATATAATGTACCATTTTCAGTGATTTTTATTTAATATCATGGGTATTCTCCTTCTGATATGTGCATTGCTGTTCAGGAACTTTCCACAAAAGACTCACTCAACTAAATAATCCCCCATGATTTCAACTCACATAATCTATATTTTTAATGATTGAATGCAATCAGAATTCTACATCTGGTTTGTGCATTAGAACAATGCCTGTATACATTCTTACATATCTACATGCAAGTCAGTGCAAGCTGGGAGATCTCCACGCAGGATATTCAATTCAATTCAAATAACTTTATTTATCCCCTAGGGGCAATTCAACAGCTCACTGATAAGCTGGAGTGTAAGACTGTAAAGATCGTTGATGGATAGTAAATTGTACAAATTTACACTTTATCTGAGTTTGCAGTTCACAATTTTCTACCTAAACTGATGTGAATTTGTAATTAACTTGAGTAAACTTGAGTGTCTGTAAAAATCACAGACTGTACCAGCCCACGGTGAAAATGCTGAGATGCGTCTGACGTCAACCAGGGCTGGCTTCCTATTGGCTGTACGTCCATAAACTTACGTATGACGCATTTTTGAAATTCAAGCGGCGGAGCGTTTGTTATTGTGTGTCATCCGGAGCTGCGCTGCAGCTTTGCCGAGTCTGTTGGCAATTCAAACTTTAGTCACATACAGTCGATTAAAAATGTCTTTTTCAAGAGCTCCACTGAAGAGGTTCAACGAGAACGTAGGTGAGTAACGTCTCGGCGTTTAGCATTTAAACAAATTATCAACTCATTCAGCGGTAAGTAGCTTATGCTAACTGACGTACGTGGCTAATTGCTAAGCAAACGTTAATGTGGTCTCGCGTCAGATTTGTTTAAGCGTATGAAAAGCCGTTAAACAAAACAAGCTAGTAAAAATTGTGTATTTAAACTAACAAAGAAGGGACTTTAGCTGACGTTGTGCTGTTGCCCAAAGGTTGCGCCCCTCCACCGGGATCCTACGAAGTCAAACCTGGGGACCTGAAAGGAGCTGCGTCCTTCGACAAATCCGACCGATTCCGACCTGTTAAAGCCGGTGGGTGGATGTAATAATCGCATTGCAATGATCTTAAAACGTAAAACGTTGTGCCAATATTCTCTTTCTTTGTGTCTCCAGCCGCTGGTGCTGCTCTGCCTCCACCATCGCCTTCCAGAAACGCCTTAGTGTCTCCTGTCAGAAGGACTTTGTCGGTTGATGGTCTTGTAAGTTCATAGTTCAATATGTAACATAAATCGCACCTTTCAGACGACTCTGCTGATCCTACAGCTGCTTAAATCGTATAACCTTTTCTCTTCATGTTTTGTACAAATCTAGGTTGAAGGATCTAGCGTAAAGAAAGAGAGGAATGGCATGACAATGGACAGGAAGCAGCAGAAACTCTTGGAGAAAGAGGTACACCTCACTGATGGAACATTTGTGTTATCGATTCATCACAAATATTCTACTGTTTGTCTTCTGTAATCAGAAGCTTGTGTAATTGTAAACAGCTGATTTTTTTTGTTTTGTTTCTGGTCGTGCTCATGTCAGAGTGATAACTTGAGCTCTGTTGCTTTCCAGATCCGGTCCTTGGTGCAGCAGCGAGGAGAACAGGACCGACGCCTGCTGACTCTGGAAGAGGAGCTGAAAAAGGTGGAGGCCAAGCTGCTGGCTGCAGTCAGAGAGAAGACGGGCCTCTCTGCCAATGTCACCACACTAGAAAGGCAGCGAGCCGAGCTCAAGAAAGTCAATGAGTTCCTAAAAAACAAGGTTTGTTTCGTTTTCGTACTTATAACTAGGCTTTACTATGTTAAGAAATGCTGTTTAAGTATGTCCAAATGAAATGTGTCGTAGGTGACACTTTTTTTCGTATTGGCTGCATTAAAAGTGGGACTCTGCATTTTTTAGGTTTCTGCTGATACGACTAAAAAGAGAATCAATTCTCTCACAATGGAGCTGATGGAGGCGAGAAATAATTTGGATGTTAAAAACAAGGTAGGACTTGGCCTTCATCAGCTTAATCTACATTAAATATTACATCAGAGCTTATGATCACTGCTTTCACCACAGGAAATTGTGCTTATGTGCAATGCATGTTTTTTTTTTGTATGCAGGAGTTGAGTGTCCTGCAGGTTAACACTGAAGGTCAGCTGAAGGTGTTAGAAACTGACCTCCAAGCTGCCAATGGTACTGCCACTGCTCTGAAAGACAGGAATAAAGACCTGGGTAAGATTTTTATTTTATATGTATCTATAACAAGGTGCTGCCAGGGACAGAAATCTGTTTGAGGAAATGTGTATTCCAACCAATCATGTTTTTTCCCTTTTAAAGAGGACCTTCACCAAGTAACGAAAGCCCAAAATGAAGAGCTGGAGAATGAAAATGCTAGGTTACAAGGTGAGTTCTGTGCATGGCTTGTCGTTGACTTTACACTCAGTTGGGTTGAGGCATAATTGGAAGGATAATGTGTAATTTTAGCATCTATGGCCTAGTGACAACAACCTCTGTGCAGTGTCCTGAGCTCAAAGATGCTCGCGTGTCTGTGCTATTGGCTTTGATTTACAAATAACATCAGAGTTACAGGCAGCACTGTTCCAGCTTCTGTATGTGGGTTTGTTTGCACGTAATAATGTAATTCCGTGTCATTTTTGCAGCTGTAATACAGGAGCTGAAAGAGGAGATCAAAGTATTACAGGGATACCTGGATGTAGCCAATGACCAGATCCAGGTATAAACTATATAAATTGTGTCTATAAGAGCAAATCTTATTTAAAATAAATATATCTCGCTATGTTTTGGTCATATTTTGTGATCGGCTGATGTTTGATGTTTGTTGCTGTAGGATCTTCGTCTGCAGATTCAAGACAAGACACAAGAGAATGCTGTTGCTGGATGTCAAGTGGAGAACCTAAAGTAAGCAACGACTTGATGCTTCCTCTTTTGTCTGAACTGAATGCCATGTACACTCATTTCTCCATTTTCCACAGACAACTAGAGGCCAAACTAGAGCAGCGTACTGCTGAGCTAAAAGCCATTGAAGATGTGCTGAGACAAAAAGAGGGGGAGGCCTACAAATTCCAGCAAGAGCTGCAGGCGTCAAAAGATGCTTTAGGCGAAGTGGAAAGCAGGCTGGAGAATCAAGAGCTGGCGCTTAGGGCTTCACAAAAGTCAGTAAGTGACATGGAGGAGCAGATGAAGCTGGCCAACCAAGAAGTTGAAGACTCTCAAGCAACAATCCATCAGCAGGAGGCAGAGCTTGTTCGACTAAAAGAGGTGCTCAGGAGAACAGAAAGGGAGCTGGATGAGAGAGTGGCACATCTGGAACAGAGGTGTCTGTACTCTGAGGAGGAGAGAAGTATGTGCATTCTGATCCAGCAACTTTGTTCAATTCAGGTGCAAAATAATTTGAAGCTTGTGATGTCTTTGTTGTCATTGTCTGTTTGGCTTTAGGCAAGACTCAGGAGGAGGGGCTGAGGAGAGTGGAGGAGCTGAAGGTGGAGCTGAACCTGCTAAAGGAGGCTAAAAAAGACGAGCAACAGAGACAGAATCAGCTCCAGCAAGAGCATGATGCACTTACTGAGGAACTTTCAAAAGAAAAGGTTAGGCAGACATTTTTGTTTAAGAGGATTCGCGCTTGTTTTTTCTTTTTGTGTGTTTTTTTTTTTAACCAAAATGCAAATCAGTGCAGTGTTGTTTAAGCTCCAGGTTGCCCTGTTTTTTTGTTGGCAGGCACTTGTGGACTCCCTGTCTGTGCTGGTGGAGCAGGAAAGGGAGGATTCTGAGGAGCGGTTGAGACAGCTAAAGGAGGAGATGGAGGAGGTGCTGGGAGAGCTTGCTGTCATGGAGGAACAGGAGCAGAGGAGGCAGGAGGTGGCAGAGAAGAGTGAGGAGGCCCTTCAGAAGCTGCAGGAGGAGAACAAGGAGATGGAGATGCAGCTGAGTGATACCAGGGCACTTTTGGAGAGGTGAGCAACCAATGGCCAAAAACACTGATAGTAAAGGTAAAACTTTAACCACAAGTTGTCGAGGGTCATCCCTCGATTCAATATGCCTTCCTTGTCACACTTGAAAACAGCCCTTTTTTTTGATTTGTTGACACTGTCTGCGTGTTGCTATTTAGACTCACATGGTGCTGGCAGCATTTGCTGTACATAAAGTAGAGAAAAATAATTGTGTTAGCCAGTCCATCACAGGCATGACACAGTCAGTGGGTCACTATCTATTTCTGTATGTGACCAATTTGAAGTTTGCAAGTCACCTCACCACCTCAGTATTGGCATATAAGGGCAACAGGGCACTCAGTAGGGAACTTGTTCTTTGCCTTTGTTAGACAATTGAGAGTGGAGACTGACAGTTCAAATAAGGCATGCAATGTTTTTAGTGTGTATCATGCCACTATTTTCGGAGGATGACAGTCTTTTCATGTGCACTGTACTAGTAGGGCTTCTCCTAATTACCATTTTCATCTGTCAGTTATTTTCTGGTTCATTTGTAGTGTTGTTGTTTTTCTCTGAAATGGTCAAAACTGCACATCACTATTTGTTAGAGCCCAAGATGATGCCTTCAGATGCCTCGTTAGGTCTAAGCAACCGTCCAAAACCCAACGATAATTAGCTTACTGTCACGCGTGACAAACAAAGCAACAAATTTTCATATTTGAGACGTTAGGAGCAAGATGTTTGGCTTTTTTTTGCCTGTAAAATTCCTTAAATTATTCATCAATTACCAAAATAGTTTTCTCGCAGTTGGCGGTTTGATTAATTTGCAATTTTTGAAAGAAAGCTTCTCACAAAAACATTGTGAAAGCACAGCATTGTTGTGTAATTCACCATTAATGGAAAACTTCTAGATTTTAGGGGTCAAAGGTCAAGATCTTGGTGTCCTCACAAAACACATTTTGGGCCATCGCTCAGGAATTCATATGCCAATTATGACAAAATGTCTAAATGATGAACTTGATGCAAAGGTGACGTCTGGGACAGACATGGATGCAAACTGCGACTTGGCTTGAAGGAAGCATGTGACTGTCCGACAGAAATTCTCGTTAGTATGAGCAATAAATACTGTGGCAGCTTTGACAGAAACATGTAGCTGCCATGAGAGAATGCCAAGTTGCGTTCACAAACTCATTAAGGAAAATAGGAAATGTTGTTACAGTTCTAAAAAGGTGAGCACTCGAGTGTCATTATTTTTGATGTTGCCATGTCAGTTTGATTTGTGTTTGCTTTAAACATAATATTCTCTCAGCGTCTGAGTTTACAGAATTGTTGTCTTACATTTTCAGCACCCAAGAGGATCTTAAGGGAGCAAAGGGAAAACGGGGAGAACTGGAATTGGAGGTGGAGAGAGTGACCCACCAAATGAAGGAGGCAATGGATAAAATGGCTGAACAGAAAGAGGAGGTCAAGAGAGCGAGGGAGTGGCTAGAGGACCACCAGGAGAGCCAGACAGTTGAAGCAAAACAAATGGAGGAGAACTCAAGGTATGCTTCAAATTCACTTTCAGTTTACGTTGGAACAGTCGGCCCTTTTCCTCCTTTTTCTAATCTCTTTGTCCTTGACTTAGCAGAACGGTCCTGGAGGTGCAGGCTCGCCTCGCACAAAAAGATGAGGAGATGAAGGCCACAGAGACGAGACATGCTGCTCAGATCAATCAGCTACAGCAGGAGCTACAGGTGCAGACAAAGGAGACAGAAGAGGCACTTGGGCAACTAGAGGAACAGAGAGGTCAGAGTGTAACTCAGCTCCAAGAAGAAAGGGAAAAAGCCCAGAAACTGCTCGAGGAGGTCAGCAAGGAAAAAGAGGAGATAATGGAACAGCTACAACAAGAAAGAGAGGAGAGAGTTAAAATTCAGACAGCCCTTCAGGAGGAAAAAGGAGCACTGGAGGTTGAAAGGAAAGACCAGCAGCAGGTCAGGTCACAGGTGCTCCGACTACAGGCCGAGCTTGAAAGAGCAGAAGAGGAAAGGACGAGTCTGCTGTCTCATGTAGAACTCAAAGACCAGTTCAGGCGTGCTCTTGAAAATCAACTAAGCACAGCTGAGCAGGACAGAAATGAGCTTCGGTCTCGCCTGGATGAGGTTGAACAAGGTGTGAGCTTCCAGGCCCAATTAGACCTTATGGAGGACAAGACACAGGCTCTGCAGCGCGAGTTGGATGAACATCGACGAGACAGACAAACTCTGAGAGAACAGGTAGAAGTTCTGACTCAGGAGAAGGTTACACTGCAGTGGGAGATGGAGGAGCAGAGACAGGAGCTTCAAAGACAATTAGCTGCAGCACAAGAGAACAGGTGAGCAATATTGGATTTTTTTTTTGTTGTAAAGTGTGTTATCTGGAGATTATTTTTTAATATTTGCAAATTTTAATTCATCAATCCTGTCCTTTAAGCTCCCCACGTTCAGAGACGGAGCACTGGAGGACACGATATGAGGAGCTGTTTGCTAAAGTCAGGCCATTCCAGGTCAGTCGTTTTCATATCAAATCACAGAGTAGCCGCATGACCTTTCATTTAAGCTGCACTAATCAATATTATATTGACAATGGCAAAAAGTGACCTGGTGTAATGTCAGCAGTCTTTATAGAAATCAACTCATGGATGATTATTACCCGTCTCCGCAGTGCAACTCAGCCTCAGGGAGCGTTTTCCAGTGTCTCTTATTGTTTTGGTTTTAAAGCCTGAAACCTTAAGTTTTTCATTCTGTGTCATTAACTTTAGCTTTCAGCCCCAGAGCTCTGATTAAACCAACTTTACGCTACCTTGCTCACTGCTAAATAGCTGTAAGACATAGTTGGCGACTAAATGGTGAAAAATAACGGAGCATTTAGTGGCTAAAAAGTCTGATTCTTTCCCCCTGAAGTTGCCGGAGGCTTAGAAAAGATGGACCTACGTTAATCAGGTTGCCACAAACGATCGAAAGCAAATGTTGCTAATACAATCAAAATATTAATTCTATGATGCAATAACATGTCAAGCTTGCGTTCTCTTCCCAGATAAAAATGCTCAGTTCATGTTAGCTTCAGTTAAACGCGAGAGTTCAAACTTTCTGAATGTGCATGTTGGTGTGTGTGCCCCCAGGAACAGCTCAATGCCTTTGCAGCGGAGCGAAATGCACTACTTAATGAGAATGGGGCAAACCAGGAGGAATTAAACAAACTGGCTGACGCTTACGCTCGCCTCCTGGGGCACCAGAACCAGAAGCAGAAGATCAAACACGTGGTGAAGCTGAAAGATGAGAACGTCTCCCTAAAACAGGTGAAATGTGAACGCGGCACCGTCTGCTCCCCAAAAACAAACACACGTTTTGGTTCGAGTTCGAGCGCCCTGTACTTCATCCCCATTTCTCCCGCCTGTGTGTGTGTGTGCAGGAGGTGTCTAAGCTTCGTTCCCAGGTGAGCCGGCAGAAAAGTGAACTGGAGCAGCTGAAGTCAAAGCTCCCCGGTGCTCCTCGCCGCAAGTTTGATCCCAGCAAAGCTTTCCAACATGACAAGGAGAACAGGCAAAGTGAAAGCACAGAACCTCTTAAAGAAGGTGAGTGGTACACTGCAACACTTTGAACCTATATAGAGCCAGAACTTATGACAACCAGAGCTGTTCTTACAAAAGCATTTACAGAATTCTGATTCTTTCTCTATTTTGTTAGGTAACCATCATGTGTAATGGGGGCTCTTCTAGCAAACAAGATGTGACAGTACACTTTAAAGGTTTGATGGTTTTGGTGATGTTTTATCAGTAATTTATAGGTTTAAACTGTATCTCTACATGCTGATGTTTTGCCACCATTTTTTGTGTTTAACTGTTTCGATTTTAAAAAGATATTTTAGAAGCAAAATGTGTGTACACAGGAGCCGTGTGTCAAAACAGTTAGGAGATGGATGGATGCAAGTGCTAATTGCTTATATTAGCGTCAAAATAGAAGGTGCATTTCATTGTTAGCTGAATTTGGTAATTATTTTTTAATCCTTTTAACCTACTTGTGAACTCTTAGGGTAGCAGAACCAGCAACTGTTTCATGTGGGATAGCTCTTTAAAACCTTTGTTTTGTAAATAAAGACAGATTTGAATAACTTTTTAACAGAATTGGGACTGAAGGTTATTTACTTACCCAGTGCAAAAAAAAGAAAAGAAAAAAATCTTATGTATTCCTCCCCCCGTTTGGTTCGTTTCAGCCATGTGTGTCCTCAGCCAGTAGAGAGCACTCTAGGACTGCAGCCACAGGTTGGCACGCGGCAAAAGGGTACTTGCAGCCCACATCAATATACCAACTACAAAGAACACACATTCACATCGTTGCAGAGAGCAGCCTTGGGTTATGGGTCATGAAGCTTTATTTCCTTCAGTTGATAAGACATAGCCAGCAAGTATTGGGCCAGAAATTGACTTCGGGACCTTTTTACAAGCTATGAGTGGTGCTAGTCGTGGAGTGGCGAGTCAGTCGCAGTAGCCCTCCAGGTGGTAAATGCTGCATGGCTTATGGCAGCACTGCTCCACGATGCCTCTCTTCACCTTGGGCTCATCCCGGCCAGACAAAGCCCTCCACAGCCGCTGCTCCTGTCTGGCCCTTTCAGACAGGAACCCTTTGAAGTGGAGAAAGTTTCCATAGCCCTGTGTTAAGTCCTGCTACTGCTGTGCAAACCTCCAGTTCCTCAAAATACCATTTACTGTTCACACTTTAATGGAGACTTAATGGCTAGTTAATCTGATCTCCCCAATCCATTTAGTCTTGTTAGTCTCTACTTCAAGAGGAGAAATGACGGAGCTCCAACAGAGGCATATCATAGCTTACACCCCTAATGTTAACTTCAAAACATCAATAGAATGTTTGAGGGAGAAGATCCAAATAGCGCGTTTTGGGAATAGCATAACATGAGTGACTTCACAAGGTTTGTGATGAATGGATTTGTCACATCATAGATGTTGAAAGCAACAATAAGAAACCCAAAAGCCTGGCCACACGTCTAAGCTCAAAAGAGGCCGGAGTGAGACTTTGCACACTAATGATGGCTCGGACCAATACATAGATCCAGCTCAGTAAAGTTTTCAGCATGTTGTCCCTAAACATTTTTCCTCCAGCTAGCGTCCAATTTGGTATTTTCATTAGACTGAATCTGAACTTTGAACATGATGTGCAGAGACTGTGGAGACACAGAGCCAGACTGGGGTCTTGGGGTTATGTCATGCTGTTCCTTTCTGAACTCCCACCATCAAGAGGTCAATTAAAAGTTATTGTGCACAAGTCAAACAAGTGAAAAAGTGTTCCCAGTATTAATGCGGCCTTACCCAGCAGATGCTCCAGATCCCGCTTGTGGTTTCGGTTCGAACTGTAATAAAATCCCCGTTCTCCACACACGAAGTAGAGCGCGTCCACCAGGTGGGAGCCGCACAGGTGCTGGACGGGTTCCGAGAGCACCCCTGGAGCGTAGAGCATCAGCACTAACAGCATGGACGCCGTCCATGGTACCCTGGCCATAGGAGGGAGACCACTTGGAGAGAGCACAAACAGGAAATTTCACAAAAAAGTAGAAACGGCTGATTGAATTTTTACTATATTTTTTAAGACAAAGTGAATCCGCCTGTCAAATGCGCCAAGGCCAGATGGATGAAAGCTGGAGGATGAAGCGATGCCGAAATTTGATCGGACCTTTCTTGATGACAGTCAGGCATTACAAGACCACTTTCTTTTAATAACTAGTTATATTTTGCCACGCTCCTGTGAAATTCTACCAGATCGCTCCGAGCCGAGTATAATTGCACAGAGACAACATGGAGGGCACATAGCAATACCCCAACTCAAAATAAAGGCTTTGAAGTGAGTAGAAAACTGAATAATTCATTCTTTCACTGAAAACCAAAGGCCAGGATGAAAAGCAGCGGTGAAACAAGGTCTGCAGAAGAGTCATTGTATGACATTTGTCTCGACTCTCTGAATCTTACAAATTAGCGCGGGGCTGAGCGAGATTAAGGAAAGTGATAAATTCCAGAATAACATCTTTATGACCCAGGTGGTCTCCATGCTGTTCTTCACAGGGGGGCAATACGGCGATGGAGTTAAAATTGACCCAAAAAAGTATGTTTTCATTTTGATGTTCGACATTTCATAGTTCATATTTGCAAACAGCATTGTAGACATCACCCATCCATTATGTTTAATGTTATTTTCTACACAGCCCACATTGAAGTAAATTGAAAATTGATTTTATTTTGATTCCCTTGGCTTTACTTCTATCCCCAGTTGAGCCTTATTTTATAATAGCAGCAGCATCTAGAGAGAATACCTTTGCCCCAGAATCGCCAGTGGAGACACTGTGAGCGTCTCCTCAAGGTCAGTCTCCACCTTGCTCTCCAGCTTAGCAGTTAGAGTGCTTAAGAGTGGGAAAGATTTGTCCAAAGTTACGCTACTGTTATTAGTGTTATTAGTTAAATCCCATTTGTGATGGATGTTCTCCCAGGTTTAAAGTTCAGCTCCTGTTTCAAGGTGAAAAACATATTTAGCAGTCATTTAGAAACTATATAGACCTTTTGTGGACATCTTATAGTGCACTGCAGATTATTGGATTGAAAATGAATCATTTTAACAGTGTCTTTAACAATGCACCTGTGCCAGGCATTACAACATTGGCAGAGCGTTCTATCAGGCCAGCCACTCCTCAATCCCTCTTGGCCGAGTGCCAGGCTCCTTGGCACAGTAGATGGGTTGAATTATAGATCCTGCTCGTGCTAGACTTTATTTTCATCCTGGTTATTATACACATAAATTTTAACAGTTGAAATCTTCAGGGAATACAGAGAAACTTTGCTTACCTGTGTTTGAAGGCCTGAGTGCAGCAGAGCAGCTGGTGGTTACAGATGAAAAGGCCTATAGGGCTATATAGGTACAGAGAACATCTCCACTTGGCTACCTTTCCCCTTTATAACTCTCCACCTCCACCTGGTCTTTGTCAGTCTCAGCGGAAAACGCTAAGGTCCTCTCATTAACACCCTGACCTGTAATCATCCTGATCTGCTCTTGAGTGGCACTACGTCATTTAACTGAGTGCGGACCAACAGCACTGGGATAAAGTTGAGGAGGCAGTCGCCCAGAGCGATACCCAATTCAATCCCGGCTGTATGCTGGCCCGACTGACACCGTTCACAGGCTCACAGACAAACACCATATGTCACGTTCTGATCACGTAGTGTAGATTAGAGGACTTCCAAGTTCATCAGTGACCACTAGTGGCGCGCTTGAGCACTGTATTGTAATTCTAATGGAAACAATTATTCATGCAGGCTTCTTGAAAACAAAAAAAAAAACCCTGAATGACAGTACATTGGATTATCCCTCTTTATTCCTATAGCAGCATGTCTACAAAAATGCTCAGAATTAAATGTCAAGCTGACACTTTATTGGAAACATTAGGTGAATGTATTCATCATTACTGGTGTTACCGTGTTTGCGTGTCATTTACATTCTGGTGTTTTAGCTTCCTCGTGCTTCCCACTTGTAGCGGCGTGCCGTTATTTGGTGCTAATTTCTGGAGCTTTTAATGACGTGCTCTATCACAACCTGCTCTTTTCAATGCAGCTTTGTATCTATACGCACGGATAATCTTCTCCGCGTTGTCAGCGCCGACGAGTCGCGTCCCCGAAAACATTTAAAACAAGAAATCTGTTCGTTATACAAAATCCAAAAAAAAAAAAAAATGCGCAATGAATCATAGATGTAACTCTTGGAGGATAAAAGTTGGTCTGTTTTATCGCACAGATTTTCCCCCTCGTCTCTCTCATGCAGCAGCTGTTCTTTATACTGTTGGTGTGTCTCTCTGGTGGTGAGCCAGATTTAGATGAGAGCTGACACACTGTATAATTTTATATGAAATGATGACTCCATTGTCAGGCCCTGGATGCAGCACATATCGGTTCTGTCACCTCTTTGCCTCTGTCGGTTAATTTTACTTTTAATAAGCACTGCAGATAGTAGGTAGCATTCTGTGCACAGAGTTTTGTTGACACCTTGTTAAAGATGAACACAGTCATAAATGTCAAAGTCTGTACCTTTTCATTTTCAATGCTTTTTTTCCCCCTCTGCTTTTTTTTTTTTGTAATCAGGTAAATTAAAGCTTGGTTTCTCTATTGGGTGCAACTCTTTTCTCATACTTAATTCTTGCTTTTTTTTATTTTACCCTGGAACTTTGGAATATAGTTGTTTTCAAGATTTGTAGGAACCTCTGTGGATTGAGACTGAAAAAGAAGAAGAAGCAATTTGGGATAAAACAGTTGTTCTTTATTTAATAGTAATACCTATTAAATCCGTCTTGTTAAATCTTTATCATTTACCCACAAGTGGCTTTAAATAATTCTGCACTATATTATGTAATGATTACTCCCAAACATCTAAAATCCTGTATGAGTCCATTTATTTTCAACCCTTCCTTTCAACTGTAACACAAACCGTTCAGCATCACAGCAACACACTTGCTTGGTTTTGTTAAATCGAAGGATATTTTTCCATGTATGTTTCCTCACAGTGCTGCGGTGAAGGAGAAGATGGGCTTTCTCAAGTACTGAAGCGATATTTCAGTCATTGAATAACACACTAATTGGTTTATGTTTGTCACAAGAGGCCGGATCTTCACCTTCGTACTACAAAACAGAAATTACAGCCTTGGACCATGTTCTTGGAATGTCTCCCGTTGATCAGCCGTAACTTGTAAATCACTCAGCCTCAGAATTTGCGTGTATTATTCTAAAAAAATCATCCTTCTTGTTTGGGCTTTATGTAACTGCGCCGGGCCTTTGGTGGTGTTATCGACTCAGAAGTGTAAAGCTTCTTCAGCTTTATTGGTTAAGAGTCCGTCAAGCTTTCATATCCTTAAACATATGCTTCTGTTTGTTTCATGTTTGAATTTTTACCTTCTGATTCTTTCTGTTTTTTTGCTGCCGGGATTAAACAGTGAGACTCTTTTCCCCATATCGGTGCTAATCGTGTGTTGACTTACAGTTGTGGGGGTCAAAGCTACAAGCCAGATCCGAGTGTTGTTGTGACACAGACGCACATAGAACCTATTTTAGATTAGCTGCTGTGAGATTTGGAGCAGAGAGTCATATCTTTCTCTTTATGACTGTTCCATCACCACGGATCAATCAGCTCTTAGTCATGTTATTTGATGTCCTTGATTTTTTATTTTTTTTTTGGATGGTAACCTATCCAATTTAGCACTGTGAATCGCTTCCCCTCCCTTTGGTAGCATCAATTTTCCAATCCTGGCAATAACATCTGCTGGTAGGTTTTTAATGAACATTCTGTCATACTCATTTGGGGCATAAACATTTTAAAAGGATTCAACTATATCTGTGTGGAGCCCACACACAGAAACGTCTTAGGGGTTAGTTTTCTAGTTTTTAAATTCAGGAGAAAGAAGTACATATTCATTAATATTGGCATGTAGGATGTAGTAGACAATAAATGAAAGAACTGATTGTTTTGAATGATAGAAGATCATTTTACCCTGAACTGTAGAACTTTTGAAACCGTAAGATGAACATATTTATGCCTTCTGATAGTCGTACAGCAACACAAGAGTCTGTTACATGTTTATCTTTTAAATAATTTATATGTAGATCAGTGTTGGTGTGTTATAATTTTGCCTTTTTACGTATTGTAAGAGGCTGCAAGGTGGTTCAGTGGTTAGCACCGTTGCCTCGCAGCAAGAAGGTCGCCGGTTCACCTCCTGGTGGGGACACCCAGGATCTTTCTGTGTGGAGTTTGCATGTTCTCCCTGTGCAGCGTGGGTTCTCTCCGGGTTCTCTGGCTTCCTCCCACAGTCCAAAAACATGTTGAGGTTAACTGGTGATTCTAAATTGTCCGTAGGTGTGAATGTGAGTGTGCTTGTTGTCTGTCTCTAAGTGTAGCCCTGTGATAGACTGGTGACCTGTCCAGGGTGTCTCCTGCCTTCACCCTGAGTCAGCTGGGATAGACTCCAGCCCCCCATGACCCTTGTGAGGATTAAGTGGTGTATAGATAATGGATGTACTGGTAGTCTCATATGAGACAGACACCTTTCATAATTAACAGTATTTAGCACTTCAGTAAAAGCATGCCTGGGCTCTCTCTCCATATATATATTTTCTTCCTGAGATTAATATGTAATCTGACAACATTATAGATATAAAAGTGCAAAATGAACAGGATGCAAAAGCAGCAGAACTGTTTCACAACAGCGTAAGTATTTCTGTTAAAGCCACCTGTCTGTACAAACCTGATTAAGGCGAGTCAGGAAAATGCGACGTGAGTAATCAGTTTTGATCCTGAAGCAGCATGTGCTCAATCAAAGATTTAGTTTTTTTGTTTTGGTTATTTTTAGTGCAAAGGAGCTCCACGTTGCTTTTTCTCTTCTGTGTAACAGAGGGAGCCAAGGCTCCTTATGGCAACGATGGGGGGGAAAAAAACACAAATGTTTTCATAAATTACTTATTCACTGATATAAGGAG